GTTGGTCTCTCTAGCCCCCCCATCACTGCAGGCTGACGGCTGGGAAGGGCAGCCCAGCACAGACCTCACCAGGCACCACCAGCCCACTGGGGCTCTCCCACCCCCATGCTGTCCGCCTTCTGGGTGAGCAGCTCATCTGCCACAGCATACCCAAAAACCTGGCTAAGGGCAGTCCAGGAACACAGTGGGATGCTCAGACCTAGCCTGGTTTGTTGGGTTGCATCCAGACCCCAGACTGGGGATCCCAATTGGCAAGCAGACACCTGGCAGCATCCTCCCTGACAGCGACAGATGTCGGCACTTGACACACGTTTCACTCCAGCCCCAAGAGGTATTTAATGATGTAAGAAATCACAGCTTTTCCCCAAGAATGCCCCTCACCACTGTTGGTACACTTGCTCCTCTACAACGCAGGGAGGACAGAGCCCTGAGTATGGTTACAAACCAGAGCAGAAGAGATGCCGCAGCTGTACAGAGCGCTGAATCCAAGTGAATCCTGAAAAGGTCTCATCATTTTGGCTGAGACTTGACTCATGATTTTTGAATGCTTCTAAACAGCAATTTTGTTAGTATTTTAGCTCTTCTGAGCTCTCTCCCTGTATGTGCAAGTAAGGAGACCACTGGCCCGTACTTACTTTTGGGAGCATGCAGCAATCAGGGATTTTAGTGTTTAAACAAAGTGAGTCAAAGTTTGCTTCTTTGCATGTTTTTTCCTGAGGTTAACATGCAAAATGTACTTAACCTGGAGACAGCATTACAGTGATGTTCTTGTTTTTTGGCTGGAGCATCCACGGTAAAGACACAACCCAAAAATGGGATAAAACCCCTCCTGAACACAGCTGGCCATGAGGCTTGTCCCACCCTAACATTGGTTTGGCCTCTGATAGTTTCTTTTCTCCTGTGGCCTTGAAGAACCAAGCAAAGCTCCAGATTTTACTGTTGAATCTTGAACTGAAGAAAGTTGAAAAGCCGCAATCTCAGCAATCACTGAATTTTTGTTCTTGGTGGTGAAGAGCCAGGGCACTACAAATACTTCCAGCTGCCATGTCTTGAAGATGGAGTAATCAGACGGGTCAGGCTGACCTGTGCTCGCACGGGGAACACGAGGTGCCGGATGTGGGTAAAGCAAACCGCTGCTCGAGTTTCTGCAACACCCCTGGATCTTTGCTGACACGCTCCCACCCCAGGCAGGTTGTTTTCAACGTGTGTGCGAGGATTTGGGGAGAGGAGACTGGGACAGGCAGAAGAGAACCCATAGCACAGAGATGCCCTTAGTGGCTTTCATGCCTTTCATGCCTGCAGCTCCCTGGGACCTGATTCAGGAATTTTCTAACAGACACTTTCAAGAGCATGTGAGAGCCTGCTGAGCAAAGCTCCCTCACTCAAAGCCAGACACTTGGATAACTTTTGCTCCCCTCCCCCCATTTATTTCAGTTGCATAAGCAAACATACGAGCGGTATTTCCACGAGGCTGGAGCATTCCCCTTTCCCGCACAACAGCTTGAAATGGGATCTGATCTCTATTCCTTACTGAGGATATGATAGTAATTCAAGAATACCCAGATCTACAGGGTGTTTAGGTATCTCACTCACACTGATCCAACACCTGACAAATAAAGATGCCCCAGGCCCTCAAGAACAAACAAACGTAAAAATCAACGGGAGTACTATGCTTAGTGGGAACATCGGGCTAAAGGACCTTCAGATCTTCCCCAAAGTGTCATCAAATTTCCACCCTCATTTCCTTCAGGTGAAGATGATCTTGCTAAAATCCTGCTCTTCCTGCTTGGCAAAGCTCTCAGTCTGATCGTCTGCTCTGCAGACCCACTGGTGTCGTGCCCACACACACCTACTGGGGGCACCTGCTGTGGGGCCTTTCAATAACAGCCATACAAAACAGAGAAGATGCAGCCTTAAAGTCCCCGAGGCAGCACTTCTTAGTCTTACGTTTTGCGTGCAAAGCTCAGAGAATTGTTTAAAAAGTCCTTTCTTCTTGGGGACTGAATATATTCACACTGGAAAAGTGAGAAAATAAACATGTTTATACATTTATTATATACAATATTAAGGCACAAGTTTAAACAGCAAAGAGTAAGAAATCTTTGGCTGACCAACAATATCAATATTTGCCGTGGGTGACACATAACATTCTCCACTTTCCCCCTATGTACAAATAACCCTCCAGCTGTACAACACTGTACACCAACTTCTCTATACAACCAAAGACAATTAAAAATGACAGTATTTTACATCTAGTTACCAACGTCACCTGGAATGGCTACAGCACAGTTTCCCAAAACACAAAACAGTTCAAAGAGCTGGGAAAACCAGAACAAATGGAGTTTTGCCGCTCTGCTGAGAGGGGCTGATACATGGCAGTAGTACTCCAACCAAGTCCTGCTAGTGCTCGGGCTGGGGGGAGATCCGCTGGTCCTCCAGACCCTCCCTCCAGGAAAATTAACATCTCTTGAGTTCAGCACAATTGAGGAGAACGAACCTTTGGGTTTATTTGAGCTGTTGCCTACAACAAGAGTTGCCAACACCGCAGTCTCTAACAAACAGTTTCCTACATGTGACCACGAATCTGGGGCAGCATCAGCTGTAAACACACCTTTGGATACCAGAAACTGGAGGGACTGTGGTCTCTGTGAGGAGTAGGAGTGCTGTACTCTAGCTGATTTGGAGAAGCTGAACTGAACCACTACCAAACGTAACTGAAAGCCACATCACAGGATCACAGAATGGTGGGAGTTGGAAGGGACCTCTGGAGATCATCTGGTCCAACTCCCCCGCCAAAGCAGGTCAGCCTAGAGCAGGTCACGCAGGAACGCACCCTGATCCAACACTGTTTCTGCTGGATGCCTAGCTGCCTGCCTGCACACAACTTACTGAACAGTTCCATCGAAAGAAATAATACAGCTGGTAATAAAATGCTTAGGGACTTCCAAGCACCTGGGTATCCTTAGTTCTTGGAGAAAAACAATGAAATTAAATATTCACTATTGTTTTACTTGTATTCCCTTGCTTTGTCTTCCTCCTGGCCTGCTCCTACCACAAACACTTGAGGAAGGGCCACGGAGGTGGGTCAGCGCTGATGCCATGCGCGGGCCTGGCTTTTATGCAAACATTTACAACGTTTAAATTAACTTTAGAGGAAAAAAATAAAATTATTTTACAAGGCATATATTAAGCTGCGTAACACCTTCCAAGGGTTTTACACATTTCACAACGCAAAGCTGCTAATACTCAAACCACACAGTTCGCTTGCCCACACAACCTACCTACCACGACTTCGTTTAACAAGTGCAAAAGTCAGAAAGAGGGTGACACTGACGCGCGTCTAATTCTATGTACACGCAAAAATAAGTGCATAGATTTAACACAGCAATTTTGTTTTTAAAAATAAAAATATCAGCCAGGCAGTATTGAGCGCAAGGCTCTGGCCCCCTGAGGCTGAGGTTGCAAGGACTTAAGTTTCAGAGAAAGCAGAGCTTAAAGTGCCTGGTGTTTTCACAATCAAGGGCTCCGATTTGATACCTACAGGAAGGTACGCTTGAGCCAGCCCTGAGCACACCGTTACTTCCAGCACCCATCACTTTTCCACTCTAGGCAGCTTCACACAAAATCCCATCACCCTTTTTCCCAAAGCCAAGTTCTTAATGTCACTGCGGTGCACCACAAGGTGCAGGAACCACAAAGCCAATACAAAAATACCTCACAGAGGAAAATTTCCCTATCAGCATGTGCAACGCACGAAGCAAATGGTATGCCTCGATCAACACAGCTGGTGAGCTGGCTGTCCTACAGACAGTCACCACCTCTGACAGAAATCAGGGACTAAGCTGAAAATGAGAAACGTTCCATCCTGGGTAAAACAAGGTGAAAAGAAACTGCAGCTCAGCACAGAAAACTGCTCATGTACTGCTTTGCAGTTAAACCCTGCCTGGCCTGATCCTACACCCCTTAATTCCCAGTCCCACGTCAGCTTGAATGGCAGCTCTGTGTGCTCAGGGAAGGTAGGATTTGGCTGCAGACATCAAAAATAATGAAAAATCCTGTTCTTACCACAAACACACTGATTCTTCCACTACTATGAACCACTGCATGGTAAGAGGCATCTTCTAATCTCACATGCAAACTCATCTTAACTGCACTGAAAACCCACCCACGCAACCCCTCTGAACGAGCTCTGTAGTGTACAGCCCTTCGTGGAGCTGCCGGGATCCTCCCCCGACTTCCCCTCCCGAAACCTTCCCATCGTTACAAAAGGGATTGCTTCAGCAGAGTCCTCCTCCCCCCTTCTACGTTCATCCTCCATGGGAATTCCAGCCAACAACTGCTCCTACCAAAAAAAGAAGTCTCAGCAAGCTCTGAGGTTGCAAGACACGAATATTTGCACTGTAAATCCAGCTCCAAGAGCAACACTTGCCCAGCCAGGAAAGAGGCACCTGACCCGCCTGCCCAGGAAAACCACACCACACCACTTCAAACAAATACTTACAAGAACCCGCCGTGTACACCTACGGACCAACTATTCACTGAAATTAAGCAGCAAATACTTTTGAGAAATGAATTGATACCGAGGAAGATGCAAGTTTCTCCTGGGTTATTCAGAAACTCCCCCTGGCCTCAAAAGAGCTGGGATTTTACTCCCTGTCCTGGCTGCAGAGTGGCAGGAAAACAGTGGCAGTGTGCACCCAGTCTGTAACTTCACTTGCTACCTTCTCTTCACACCAGAAAATGCAGTTTCCTTTTCCCTCAACGATCCCTTCTCGCACCACCTTCTGTTTTCAATGCCCTTTTCTGCTCAGAAAATCCCAGGCATTCATTTCATCGCTCCTCTTCAGCGCTCTTTACTTCTCGCCTGGTTCAAAGTCTCAACATAGCAGACTCAAGCTTCGTTTTGGGCACAAACTTTGTGTATCTTTCTTCAAGCTCTCAGGGTTAGTTTTTAAGGTTGGCACACCGAGGACCAAGTTGGACCTGGCTGTATGCACAGCAAACCCCAGAGATGCTGTCCTCTGCTCAGATGAGGACTTCCATCATGTCCGTATCTGGAAACTCGGGCTTGTGGAGCAAGCTGCTCACTCGGCCTTTGCTGTCGGGCGGCTTCCCATGGCTGGAGTTCTCTGCAATGGAAAGAAGGGAAGGTTGGTCTTCAGCTCAAATTCAACAGACCATTGTTTGAAGACAACATAAACCCATTTCCTCTGGGGTGATGGTGGGGCACGTCTTAACTGTATGTCCTACCTACTGACAGCCAAATTTCATCAGGAGGCTGAGAACATGTCATGCTGAATTTCCTGCACAACGACAGCAGGTGTGTCAGCGTGCACAGACCCCAAGGGCAGGCACAAAGATGGTATTTAAGAGGTACAGACCAAAGCACCTCTTTAGCTGTCACCCTAGAGAGAAACAGGCATTTGCGAAAGGTCTACGTCACTTCACCAAGTTACTACTTGTCATCTGACCCACAGTAGCTCTCCACATGTATACTCCTATTCTGCATCAGATAGAAAATTTAGGAGTTTAAAACATTATGAAGGCAGTAAACAAATAATCAGGTAGGTGGTTTAATCTAAAATGTATTACTTTGCCAGTGGGATGGGCTCAGAGAACATATGTGGCCAATTATCACAATGTATGATAGATATTGTTAGGTGTTTATCTTTGTTGCTGTAGTTCTCAACAGTCAGGGAGAAGGAGGACTGTAATGTCTTACAAGCTGGAAAAGCTTGAAAGGCTATTTTAAGAGTATCTGGAAATAAATTTCAATCTGGATTCCCCAAAACACAGTAATCCAGAGTTTCAAGGAATTTAGGATATTCAGCCCTATTAGTGACACGTCATGTTTTTGGAGGGAAGGCTTGCTTTTGAGATGAGATGAATGTGTAGGAAACAGGCTTTTTCAAAATAATGTGTGTAAAACAAATGTCTCCCTTGATAGGGCTGCCAAGCAGCAATTTCCACCTTTCAAAAATAATTAAAATTGTATTTTTTTTACCCCCACCCCCACAATCTCCACTTTGTCCTTACTATTTCCCCCCAGGTTTCCTTTAAAAATTAGGGAGAAAATGGTGTTTTCACTAACCATGGTTTACATTGAAAAAAAAGAGGAGGGTCTGAGTACATGAGCAGGTGTGGAGTGTTTTCAAGGTGTGAAACTCTGTAATTTTATCTTTGGCATCATGAATAATTGCATTTGTTGGAAACTCTGCCTGCCACAGGCGAGCGGAGCTTAAAAAAGCTGCCGAGCACGCAGCTCTGCAATGCCAGACCGGGCAGCCTTGGCAACGTCTCTCCCTACGATTTTAGTTTCCCTGAAGAAACCTCCCCACTGCCTTACAAATTGTGAAGGCGTCACTCCTCCCTCCATCAATCCTGGGGCGTCTCTGGGGATCTGCTGTCAGCCCTGGGGGTGCTGGCATTCCATACTGATGCGGGGATCTGGCAGAGCTCACCCAGTTTCTCAGCAGCCACCCGTGTCCCTGGGGGCCGCGGGGCTGGGCTGTGTGATGGGGTGGTACCCAGCCGCCCCCGGCCGGGGAAAGAGGCGGCTGCGGGCCAGAAGAGCTCAGTGCTTTTGTCCGTCTGGGTGCTGCTGTCTTTGCTGCCCGTCTTCGCGTGGGAGGCCGCTGGCCCTGGGATGGGCATGCAGGACAAGGAGGGCAGTGGAGGAGGCAGTGAGGGGCCTGATGGGTGGTCGTGGTGCTCCTTCCCCAAGAGCAGCCCTGAAAACACACGGAGGTGAGTCACATCCCAGCTGGAACGTAAGTGCTGTCCCTGCGTCCCACCCCAGAGCTCCAAGGCGCTGGTCTGGATTTGTCTCCAGCCGTTTGGCTTGGCTTTGCTTTTCCCCTTGATGCTGCCTGTTGCTCTTCTGCTGACATCCATATGGTACTTTCCTAGAAAACAGCCTTTTAAAAGCAGCTGCCCTTTCCTGCATCCCCTTCTGCACGCCCATCCCAGCGGTACCTGTGCCTGGCACAGCCTTGTCTGCCTCCACACCCCCATCCTACACGGCCCCAAAGCACAGGCAGTCCTGCACTCATTTTTCCATTTAGCTGCCACATCTCGTTGTGCACTCCTACCCAAAGGGATGCTCACCATCCTGAGTAACTTTAACAAGGCTTTTTTTCTAGCCCAAATTTGCTATTTACTCCCACAAAGTTGCAAACATCATCTGCTTGTGTCTGGGAGGATTTCTCCCAAATACGGTTTTCTATAATCAGTGCAGAACGATTTAACATGATTAAAAATATAATTAAGATAGAATGTGAGGTTAAAGACTAATTTTTGACTTCAGCACAAGGACATACGTTCTGCCCATGGAAAGTGCTCTGGAAAGGAGCCATGGAGGCAACGTGTGCCATGGCCGAGGCACTTTCGCTAAGCTCAAGCAGAAGGATCTAAGAGTACCTGGAAATAAATTTCCAAATGAGCCAAAGCTTAACCAAAAACTGAGCTTACCTATACTTCCCTTCCAGATCTTCTCTTCCTTTTTCTCCTCAGCTATCTGATTGCTGGTCAGTGAGGTCTGGCGCGAATGCACGCCTGTAGCAGCAGCGATGGAGGGGACGGACCGTGCAGGTCGCAGGCTGGCACTGTCGGCTTTTCCAGGGTCTTTCCGTGATCGTTGCTGAAGGACCTTGATCATGGCATCCTTCTCAATTATTTTGGCATGGAGATTTTTTATTCTGCCAAAATAGGAATGCTCTGCTTACAGGAATGGAAAAAGCATTTATATGGGTAGATCTCCCCACTCTGGGGCAGCAGGACGGGTCCCCGGGATGTGCCCTGCTGCTCTGTCCCCTCCGGTTTTGAGCGACTCAGACAAGACAGCTCCCACCAGTTCCTCTGAGGATAACCACACACTTCAAAACCGGCAGCTTTTCCAGCTGTTAAGCCAAAACTGGGAACTCTTTTCTGTAAGATTAACTGAACCCATCTGTTGCTGCAGCTTTACCAACCCAGCAGGAGCAATGAGGGCAGTATCTTGACCTGGCTGCAGATTGCTACCTTCACCGGAAAACACACAGGCAATTTCCACCCTGGTAATACATCAGGGCCAAATCTGGAAACCCTCCTTTGGCAGGCTGAGTTAACCTCATGATTCGGGTCTGCCATCAGCTGGAGTAAAGACCTGTTGAAGCAAGTGGAACAGTTCCCTTTGGTTTCTCTAATAGGTGCACTGGGCTCTTGCTTCTCCCTCACTGCTGCAGAAATGATCAGCACACAGTGTGCAGAGCTGAGCAAAGCTTGCTACTTCTCTCACACAAACCCTGACGACTGTCACATCACAAAAAAAAATAGGATTATCTGAGACTTTTCTCCAGGAATGACTAACACCAAATCATACCAAAGGGCTACATTAAAAAAAAACAATCGTACATGTATTGTACATGTACAATACGACAGCCAGATGACTACAGCTTGACTGTGATGCACAATATATAGTCCAATGCAGCTGCACTTTGTGAAGCACTGAAAGCTAAAATGCTGCATCTGGAAAACCTACACGTACAAGGGAGACAGATAGTAGCTTCATGTTGGCATTAGTTTTCATAATCAGATGTCTAATTTGCAATGAAAACACAAGATCCTAATCTATCTTTAATGAAGCCAATGGCAAAACTCCATTACTTCACTGGAAGCAGGTTTAGCTTGCATCTGTGAGTGGAAAACAAAAACTAAACCCAGCAAAAATAATCATTGCTATTTTCCACAAGCAACTAATACATTTTTTTATAAAAGTGTCTGCAGACCAGTGTTTTTGTGGGGAAGGCAACACTGCAGAACAGATTTTAAATAGTTTTTCAGTAAAAACCTAGAGGAATGCACAAACTTTCTCAAGGGATTTTTACTGATCAAAAGGCCACTTTTCACCAGGAAAACAGTCTGGATTAAAAATACTGCCCAGGTCTAATGCTCATTGAACTACACAGCCACATGTCCACTTGTGTGCTGAAAACGGAGAAGTATCTGCAACAATGAATGTTAGTCTTGCCGACTGCCTGTGCCCAAAAGAGTTTATTTTATACCTTCTACTACTTGTAAATGCATCTTTTTTAGCGGTGCTAAATTTTGCAGGTTTGTTCCTAAACCCCAATGTGACCATCACACAACTTGGATGTGGGAAACTTAGTGTATCTAGAAAGCAATAAGCAGGCAAGGAGTGAAGAGCAAGGCAAAGAGAAGCCCTCGCGCTGCTGATTGTGTAGGAGTGGGATTACAACTTCAGCTTTTATGACCAGACACTCTTGTTTCCAGAGGGGCATTTTAACGAGATTAAACAAGCATTCAGCTTCCTCGCATGCCAACCTACTTTTATAGTGGAACATAGCCTCTGGTTTGTAAGAAGGTCATTTTTGGCACAGAGAAGGTTTAACAGGGAGGTAGGGAGGAAGTTATCTAACGACAGCAACTCTTTAATCCCTGTTTTAGTGCTGAAGAGCAAAACTAAGTCAAAGTGAAGCTAAGCTCATCCTTTCCAGGCACGCATGAAGGAACAGAAGGGCATCCTGGTTTATCCGAACCCAGCCCAAACACCACCACAAGCAGGTACGGCACGACGGCCCCTTACGTGTACTCCATGTCCTGGCAGCGCCGGTTGGCTTGCATGATCTCCTCCTCCTCCTGCCAGCCCCGCACCTCCAGCGCGCTCTCGCCGTAGC